CATACTATCAAACTGCTACCTAATACTGATAATGCTAACCCAAATTGAATTACTTCCAATGGAAATTAAACAAATGTTGGTCCAAAATGTGATTTCCCTATATAAACTATAGTAAAGTTTACCCCCTCCCCAGGGGGAAACGTGAGACCCCAGGGTCAAGAAATTCACAATTTTGGTAAAGCACCTTAAGACCCTTCCATATATGAAGAGTATTTGATTCTACCATATCTGGGTCTTGAGAAGAAGATTTTTGAAATTTTAGTCAATTTGACCCTCAGGTTCCTGGGGGCTTGGGACTAAACCGGCCACTATTCTTGTTGACCTTTGTCCATGGAAGGTCCCTGCAAAATTTCATTGAAATTGGTTCAGAGGTTTTGGAGAAGAAGTTGAAAATGTAAATTGTTTACAGACGGACGACGGACGACGACGGACAAAAGGCGATCGCAATAGGTCACTTGAGGTTCGTCTCAGGTGACCTAAAAATGTAACTTGTCATTTAATTTTGACACATAAAGAAATATTACACATAGATTATGTACATGCAGTGCGGTAATATTATCTTCACCAAATACTTTACATTGTAAAAATACAATAAAACTTACTGTAAAAATAATGTCACAATCATTCAATCTTTCATACAAGGTTATTAAAGGAAAGCATCTAAAATTAAAATAACCATACCTAACTTTTGAAATTGAAATAACCATACCTAACTTTTAAAATTGAAATAACCATACCTAACTTTTAAAATTGAAATAACCATACTTAACTTTTGAAATTGAAATAACCATACCAAACTTTTGAAATTGAAATAACCATACTTAACTTTTAAAATTAAAATAACCCTACCTAACTTTTGAAATTGAAATAACCATACCTAACTTTTGAAATTAAAATAACCATACCTAACTTTTGAAATCAAAATATCCATATGTATTTGTGAAAAACAACATTTTGTCATTGGTAGCTAGTGGAAATGTCATCACTTTTTTACATATGTAGTTGAAACATTACTATAATAATTACATGATAAACGACCCATCAACACAAGAGAGGTCATTAGGGCCAATAACTGGTCAACAAAAACAAATGCAAAATAAAAACCTCAAACAAACGTGAAGGTAAACGACAAACGTTGAATTGAATAATGAAAGTGGCTTTGGTTACTAAAATTTTGTTTAAAAATACCAACAGCCTTCAGATAGTTTTAAAGTGTAGAGACAGTCATTTTTTTGAAAACAGATTCAAGACATGTAACACTACTATAGAAATGTTCTCTAGTTGGCCGAGGGTCGACACAGTTTAATAACAAATGTTTTACTGTAAATACAAGGTAATAACATTTACATACTTAACGCTATTGATTCAAAATCTATATACTCTATATATGATGCAAAAATAAATCCAAAACAAGAATGTAATCAAACATATAGGCCCCTCGTTCACTATATCAGTTCACTGTCTTGATAGCATGTTTCTCATCCTTGCTAATATGGAGAGAGATAATTTTTGGCCCATGTTGTAAGAACCATTATTCATTAATGTACATATAATTTAGAAGTAATCAAGGTTGTACATTTTTCCTTTTTCCATTATAAAATTACAGAATTTTCTACTGTCAGAGAAAACTTCAATTTACACAAGAAACATAATATTTTGTTCCAGACATTCAAATTGATAAAATCTAAATTTTATTTATTTTACTAAAATTATGAACTAAATTTTCTAAACTATGTTCATCACTCTTGTTGGCCCAGAGTGTACAGAGGGTCTTGAGGTGAGAGGAAATTGGAGTACCCAAAGAAAACCCACACGGTCACATGTATACAAACTACATCATACATTTTCACAAAACATATCAACTGATTAAAATATAAAAATAACAAGTTACATAAATCCTTTCTGTCCTCAAAATTATTTAAAACCCTGTCACGGTTGAATATTCTTTTTAACATAAATATATGCCACAATTGTCTTTGCTGACAAGGTTATTATTTTTCACTGTTGGAGCCTGAGGGTCTGTATGTTCTAGATACCCTGGATTGGGTAACCTTATGTTATATTGACTTTTCTTGATCCTGAGCAGGAGCGGGTCCAGGTGAGGGCGTAATGGGCGTACGCCCCTCCTTTTAAAAAAAACCCACCATGGACCCTCTACCAGGGCAACCGTAGTTACGCCTCCCGTTCATAAAATCCTGGCCTAGGACTATTGAAATGTTAAGTAACGCCTTATACCCTACAATTTGGAATTTCTCGTTATTGGTCTACTGCTGTTAAGATCCATCCAATCATTTTAATATACCATTTTTTGCTAAAAAACAGGTCCAAAAATTTCTAGAAACGCCCCTGCTGAGACTTTGTTTTAATGATGTTTGAAGAATAGACATCAATGTTTCACACATTAACCACTAATTGAGGATTAACTTACATTCTAAGAAATAACCTAACCGTCATTAATGCTATCTGGTATTAGTAGAGTAAAAAAGGAATCAGGATTGAGGCGGAGATTTACGCCCACGAACAAGTAGCATCCTATCACTAATTCAAGTGCTACGTCAATTCAACTACACAGACTATCTGAATATATGACGTGGTATTGTCATGAATGCTTGTAGGTCTATCTGAAGTTTATTTTGGTCACAAAAATCATGTATGGGTATTATCTATAGGATGCAATATATACATATATCTGTTTATCATATATGTACTTGATTAAATGATCACTCAAACTGTCTATGTAATCAATCATCTTTCCCTTTATCAGTATTGCCCAGCCCTGCTCAATCCACCTGGATCAGGGTGTGATACCATAGCTAAACCAAAGGTTCAGTGCCAACAGTTCAGGGCCAACAGCTCAGGCCTGTTTCCTAATGCAAAATCATTTGTTTTTAACATTTGAGGGAAATATGGATGGAAAAAGCATATTGGAATCACTAGCTGATACAACTGTGGAGTTCAACAAAATAATACACAAAAGTCATAATGTTGATAATGACAGTGAAAATAATTCAAGAGTTATAAGTGTATTTCTCAATATTAGACTCCATATTGTCCCTTGACCTATATATAAGACCCCATATTGTCCCTCGACCTATATCTGGTCCCAAATTGTCCCTTGACCTATATATAAGACCCCATATTGTCCCTCGACCTATATAAGGCCCCATATTGTCCCTCGACCTATATAAGACCCCATATTGTTCCTTGACCTATATATAAGACCCTATATTGTCCCTCGACCTATATAAGACCCCATATTGTTCCTTGACCTATATATAAGACCCCATATTGTCCCTCGACCTATATCAGGCGCCATATTGTCCATTGACCTATATCAAGCCCTGCTTAATAGGCCATTGTGCCTGACATATGAAGCTCAGGCAAATCCTGGGTCTGATATGAAATGATATCAAATCAGCCATATATTTAACTCTAATTAATAAATTTTCTGTAAACATAGAGGTAAAATTTGGCCTTGTTTTGATGTCACTTCTTCTGTTATATTTTTTATTATATTACAAGAACTTATTATTATATATACATACACATAGGTTCAACCTAGGAGAGCATCATGGTCTAAGAATAACACTAATAGTTTGATTACCTAAACCTAAATTACCGGTATCAAGTATACCGTAGATTTAACCTTGACCTATATACTTCTAGAACACAAGGTCAACCATTATTTCAACAGAAATGTTGATTTACATCCATCTTTCCTGCTAAATATATCCACAAGAACCATTCAATCTCCATTTTATTACCAAGATAGTTAGTATTTACCTCTTTGTTCGCAGCTAAGCTTATAGAGCGTCCCTCCACAAAACATCCTACCCAAGTTAAAAACGTCACCCTAAACGGTCCTATCACAGTAACTACTCTGTACGATGATCTCACAAAATATCATATATACATAGCATTACTTATTGTCAGCCAGTTTGAGGTTTTGAAGGTGAACAAGGTAATTATACTTATGGCACATCAAAGAATTTCCTCCAATCATATGACATTTTAAATATTGTAATCACAGCCTTCCAGGAGTCCTAAGTAGCCTACAGGTCCTATAACTGGGGCCTATGCTTCAGTCGCACCCCGGCCTCCGTCACGCAGTTTTTGGAGGTTGTACTCGAAGTTCTTACAGTAGAACAGCTGCACTCCACATATTCCAAATACCTGTGGGCTGAGGAACTTGATAAGCTTCTCCTAGAACACAAGGAAATATCACATTGTGAAGAGATCCTCAACAGGTAACATCACATCATTATAGATAGCAAAAATAGTCTTGATGGTGTAATAAAAAGTATCTAAAACTTCTTACCACTTCAATTTTTATTTGCAACTTTCTTCATAAATCTAATGGAGTTCATTAGATTTATGAAAGTTGTAAGATAATTTTCATTTACAAAAGCGTCTCACAAAAGCTTGACTAAAATGAAATCTTTTAGGGCTCGTCTCATATGAAAACTCGTATAAGGTTGTATTAAAGGATGACATAATTAAATTTTAATAACAAACCACCCCAATGCTCCTTTTGTACTTGACAGAGGTTGCTATCGAACAACACTTTCATGTTTTGAAATTCATTTCCATTGACACTGTTGTCTTGCCTTTGCAACATAGGGTTCCAGTTTAACCATTCTGAGTTACTCGTACTTGCCAACCATTTAAATTTTTCATGGTGAGAAACTGCATGGAAGGAAAAAACCTAAGAAAAATCTTGAAACTCATCTCATTTGACAAGTTATTCCTTGTAGTGGTCATTGGGGGTGATGTCCACTATACAACAGGTTTCACTGCCGTTGTGTATTTTCAATAAGATCTTTATCAAGTTAGTAGCACAGTTATAAACATTCTGCTTATGTGAGATTGTCCACATCTGTCTCACAACCAAACTGCCTGTCTTGGAATTGATAACGTGATGTGTTTATACGCTGAGGTTCAAATGATGACAGCTTGTGTGAACAATATAATTAGTGTAACAACGATACTTTCTGGGCTGTAGTTACACCATTGATGCTGTTATTTGACCAGAATGTGATCTGATCTCATGAGTAAGAATTTGACATGGGTGAAGTTTTATTTCTTATGGGACAAGATTTTAAAATGCATCCAGTCTATTCTTAAGTCAGAAAGAGCATCCAAGGAAAGTATTAAGCTTACCTCCAACTTCATGTCATCGTCTGTATGACTGAGCATATCGTAAGCTTTACGAAACTTCTCAAGGTCACCGCCCATTGCACGCAAACAATGTCTGTAGACAGAAATATACATACACATTTCAATACACAACTTGTTTATGTTGCTTAAAAATGCAATAAAGAGCATGAAAATGCCACCACCCATCATACAAACACAATGTCACCGCCCATCATACACACAATGTCATCGCCCATCATACACACACAATGTCACCGCCCATCATACACACACAATGTCACCGCCCATCATATACACAAAATGTCACCAACCATCATACACAAAAAAATGTCACAGCCAATCATACACACACAATGTCATACATACACAATGTCATACACACACAATGTCACCCCCAATCATACACACACAATGTCATACACACACAATGTCGTACACACACAATGTCACCACCCATCATACACACACAATATCACCACCAATCATACACACACAATGTCACCACCCATCATACACACACAATATCACCACCAATCATACACACACAATGTCACCACCCATCATACACACACAATGTCACAACCCAGCATACACACACAATGTCACCACCAATCATACACGCTCAATGTCACCACCAATCATACACACACAATGTCATACACACACAATGTCACAACCCATCATACACACACAATGTCACCACCAATCATACACGCTCAATGTCACCACCAATCATACACACACAATGTCCCCACCCAGCATACACACACAATGTCACTGCCCATCACACACACCCAATGTCATACACACACAATGTCACCCCCAATCATACACACACAATGTCATACACACACAATATCATACACACAAAATGTCACCGCCCATCATACACACAATGTCATTGCCCATCATACACACACAATGTCACAGCCCATCATACACACACAATGTCATACACACACAATATCATACACACAAAATGTCACCGCCCATCATACACACAATGTCATTGCCCATCATACACACACAATGTCACCGCCCATCATACACACACAATGTCACCGCCCATCATATACACAAAATGTCACCACCCATCATACACAAAAAATGTCACAGCCAATCATACACACACAATGTCATACATACACAATGTCTTACACACACAATGTCACCACCAATCATACACACACAATGTCATACACACACAATATCATACACACAAAATGTCACCACCCATCATACACACACAATGTCATTGCCCATCATACACACACAATGTCACCGCCCATCATACACACACAATGTCACGCAGCCCACTATATGCACACAATGTCTGCAGTCAGAAATACAGTGTTTTACACTCCATACACACACAATGTCACTGCCCATCATACACACACAATGTCATACACACACAATGTCATACACAAACAATGTCACCACCCATCATACACACACAATGTCACCACCCAGCATACTCACACAATGTCATACACACACAATGTCACCACCCATCATACACACAAAATGTCATACACACACAATGTCACTGCCCATCATACACACACAATGTCACCACCCATCATACACACCCAATGTCACCACCAATCATACACACACAATGTCATACACACACACTGTCATACACACACAATTTCATACACACACAATGTCATACACACAAAATGTCACCACCCATCATACACACACCATATCACCACCCAGCATACACACACAATGTCACTGCCCATCATACACACACAATGTCATACACACACAATGTCGTACACACACAATGTCACCACCCATCATACACACCCAATGTCACCACCAATCATACACACACAATGTCACCTCCAATCATACACACACAATGTCATACACACACAATATCATACACACAAAATGTCACCGCCCATCATACACACAATGTCATTGCCCATCATACACACACAATGTCACCACCAATCATACACACGCAATGTCACCACCAATCATACACACACAATGTCATACACACACAATATCATACACACACAATGTCACCACCCATCATACACAACCGCCCATCATACACACACAATGTCACCGCCCATCATACACACACAATGTCATTGCCCATCATACACACACAATGTCACCGCCCATCAAACACACACAATGTCATACACACACAATGTCATACACACACAATGTCACTGCCCATCATACACACACAATGTCATACACACACAATGTCGTACACACACAATGTCACCACCCATCATACACACACAATATCACCACCAATCATACACACACAATGTCACCACCCCGCATACACACACAATGTCACTGCCCATCATACACACACAATGTCACGCAGCCCACTATATGCACACAATGTCTGCAGTCAGAAATACAGTGTTTTACACTCCATACACACACAATGTCACTGCCCATCATACACACACAATGTCACCGCCCATCAAACACACACAATGTCATACACACACAATGTCATACACACACAATGTCACCGCCCATCATACACACACAATGTCACGCAGCCCACTATATGCACACAATGTCTGCAGTCAGAAATACAGTGTTTTACACTCTTTAACACAGGTTTCAAAATTAATTCGTTGTAACTTGCAAAATAAGAGCTAGTTAGATAAATACTAGTTAAAAATACAGAAAGCTTTTTAAAAATATTGTTTTGACAACTTTCACTTTCACTTGCTAACTAGCTAGTTTTGTCAGGCGTAACAAGTTTTATTGAGGAGAAAATACTGTATATACTAACAATATGTCAACAATAATATACAGTTTAAAGGGAGTGTATGGTCATGTAGTTAAGGGCAGTATATGGTCAAGAGGTTAAGGGCAGTGTATGGTCACGTAGTTAAGGGCAGTGTATGGTCATGTAGTTAAGGGCAGTATATGGTCACGTAGTTAAGGGCAGTGTATGGTCACGTAGTTAAGGGCAGTATATGGTCATGTAGTTAAGGGCAGTATATGGTCACGTAGTTAAGGGCAGTGTATGGTCACGTAGTTAAGGGCAGTGTATGGTCAACTGATTTATAGTATGCTTTATTTAACATAAACACTGCTATACATTTTGCTCGTTTATAAACCAATTTTGCTAGTAAAAGTGTACATATTTTAGGCACTTGCAATGATTTCCTAATTATGAAAAAAGGTAATTAATTACCTGTGCAATGCTCCTTTTTGTTACGAGATCCTAGTAAGGTTTTAGAAGAGCTATTATACAGGTGACATTCAATAGGTTTCCGCTGACATATATACACATGTTACATAAGTTTAGGGTGTAACCTTCAGACTTACCTCTGTAATTGGGTAATCTGACCCAGTAGCATGACCTCTGGATCCATTTGGTCACTATCTATGAAAAAGCAATACAGATCACATCAGATTGCCTAAATAAAGAATTTTACATATCTAATTTAAACTTAAAATGTTTAAATCTTTCTCTCAAACCTCCATTTTTGAAACCACCAAAAGTGTGAGGAAACATTCATAGGCTGTACTTTTACCAATATTAGAACAAATATTTCCAATTTTCCAACAGTGTTTATATGTTTGGTCTATAGAGATGTCCACGGTAGCATAATCCAGGACCTGGACTCATAACACATGGTCTACTGGCAGCATTAAACTATAGAGAACATCTGGATACTTTGTTTGTGCTGTCTAGACAAACCAGAGGCAGCATTGACAGGGACCTCTTAATGCTGCGCTGGTTTGTTTTTAACAAAAGGACTAGTTACTGGACTAGAAGCTTTTATTAAAACAAGTATTTATGAAATCACCTCCATTGTAACGTCACAATACTCTCTAGCTGGAAAATGCAGTACATTTATTTTGACAATCATGCTCAATCATGTTTAATGATAAAAGCATTACAATTTCATATCTAATGTAATAACTAAGGACTTTTATTTTGGAGAACATGTGTTATATGGACCTGAAAAGTGATATTGACTCAATATTGTTCTCTAAGGTCAATTTAACCACGCATTCACCTCAAGTAAGACAACAAAAATGATCATACTACCACTGTATATTTATTTTAGGTATTGTTTTATATTTACCATCACCAAAAAAGGCAAAGGCTCCTTCACTGTCATCATCCTCATCCTGTAAATTTAAAGGTCATCGTTATTGGTCATAAATCATATTGCAAACATACATTAAAGGTCAACGTTAAAAAATCATATCACATATACATAAAGTATGTCTGACAGGGGATAACTAAATTAGTAAAAATAACTGGATACACCAATACCATATTTATTCATGACAAGAGGCCTGACTGGCCTGAATAATCCACCAAGTATTTAGGCAAACATCTCACATAAGTGATCTTCATTGTGGGATAAAGTCAGGTTTATTAAAGCAGCCTTGATAGTAAGGAACGTGTAACTTTACAGATCAGATAGTGTACTATGTTATCCCATAAAGCCTCTTCTCTAAACCTTCAGGGAGGATAGTGTACCGTGTTATCCCATAAAGCCTCTTCTCTAAACCTTCAGGGTGGATAGTGTACCGTGTTATCCCATAAAGCCTCTTCTCTAAACCTTCAGGGTGGATAGTGTACCGTGTTATCCCATAAAGCCTCTTCTCTAAACCTTCAGGG